TTGAAACAGCAAGTGATCTGAAAAAGATGATTTTTTTTCTATTGGCCTACTCTCTAGTCAACAATATCACGAAAAGTGATGACACACATCGTTTACGTACACCAAATTAATAAATACACATAGCTCAGCGAGAGACGTAATGTCACACATGCACACATTTTGCGATGCACAGCATGTGATCTCTTCACAAGCTACATATGCTCAACTCAACTCAGCTGAACTCAGTAAATGTCGCTTTGGACCACATTCTTGCACTAGAGGTGTCAGTCATTGTTTGGACATTTGCTTACTTTTCGTACGATGGAAATTACAATTATTAGGAAAAACACTTTTTTTTCTTTTATACTATACTTTTGAAAAGTTGAACAGAGAAATTGACTGGAGCAGGGTTTAAACCTGCGATATCCAGATAACCATTTCCCGGGTCTGTTTCATGACTTTGGGCGTGATCCCTGGCTGCATGGCATATACAAGTTTATGGCTTCTGACTAGCGCCCCTTGAACAAAGATGTTGACAAATTGGGCAATTGCCAACATAGGGCTGGATAGCTCAGTTGGTAGAGCACCGGAATAATTATTCGGGGGTTGTGGGTTCAAGCCACGCTCCAGTCAGTTTCTTTGTTCAACTTTTAAAAATTGTTATAATTCCCGTAGTCAGCTGAGTTTATCTTTGTATCTTTGTTTTTTAAAAAACGATTTTTAAATAGTTGAATGGAATTTACATATTTGCTTAAACTATGCTCTTGAGCCACGCCAATTAGTCAATTAGCCGCCCTCCCTACTGTACCCATAGCAACCAAAGTACCTTACTATACCCGTAGTAACCAAAGTACTATACGCACTGTGTGCAAAAATGCAAAGGAGCAATTTCAGGGTTACTCACGTAACATTTTTTGATGTACTTTTTGAGTTTCCTTGCGCTGTAATTACCTTACTGAAAATGTTTAATAGCTGTTATCCCCATGGTAGATAGAGTAGACCTAGACCTACCTAAGCACCAAAGATGACATCCAGAAAAATGTGTTATGTATGATAAACAAGACACTCAAAATCGGTTACTCACGTTACGAAAATGTAACGTGAGTAATGGTGGAATTGCCCATACGGGTGTTTGTGTTGCCCGTTGCGCATTGCCCGTTGCGCATATTGTTTCCAAGCATGCACTTCAGATGGGGTTCAAACATTTTGCGAAGGGGTAGTTACAAAAAGTGCAAGTTAATTTTCAACTAATTTTGTATTTAAATAAAAGTTAATTTTTATTATATTCAGATTAAATTAATCAGTTATCACCTAAAATCAAGCATAATCTGTGGGAGAGGTGTTATAAAACAAAAAAAATGACTGCTTTATCTCGTGATGAAGTAAAACTGTCCTCCCTCAGTGATCCATGAAGCCTCGGGAAAAATAGAATGCTTCATGGATCACCTCGGGAGGCTAGTTTTACTACACAACACCAGGCAGTCAATATTTGTATATTATTCGTAAGGAGCCTTCCTAATTTCGTGAAACCTGGCACTGAGCAGGAAACCAAAAGACACAATTCATGAAAGGCCCGTTGTCCTTCATCTTTCTCAATTAGTCCAGACTCCAGAATGCCAAATCGCTTTAACCCTAAAAGGCCGGGGGGGTCGAGGGGGGGGGGGGGTTGGAATCCACCCCCCCCCTCGACTTTTTCCGCGATAGCCTTTAAAAAAAATGTTTTCGCAACCCAAGCTGTTATGACTTTTTAGCCCCGAGCCTTACGCATGTACCGAGTTTCAAAATTTTTCGTCACTCGATGGCCGAGATCTTGGGGGGGGGGGGGGGGCGGAATCCGCCCCCCTGGCTGAGAGATGGTCAAAATAACCAGGCCCTTTTAGGGTTAAGAAATGATGATCCTACACCATCGGCTCCCCTTAATTTCTTGTTTGTTTACGATTTGCGTAGTTATTCTTATGAAGAATCGAGACGGCGTAAAGAAATTACCCATTAAAGAAAGAAAAAAACTGCTAGTGACATAAAGAATTCTATCAAAAAACCCTTGGCAAGCAAGCTTATGGGACTGGAACCCACGACCTCCTGCTATTCAACCGCTGGATTCTCCAACTTGAGGAATTAAAATCTGCGTTTTAAAACTGTTGTCCGTCTTTAATTTGCGGCTGGATTTCTTGGTGAAAGCATCAGGGCTCTGTGCAGGAATTGACAGGTTGAAGATGAACTTTAGCTAAGTTTTTTTTTCAATATATTTGTAACAATTTAATTGGACTGTTGGATTGGCTATTGAACAGGCCTGATGCTTTTATAGAATCGGGCAATACATTAGTGCCAGCTTTAGGATGTAGGCCTACTTGAAATACTTATTCAAGCACTTTCGAATTAAATTGTATCATACACTCAACCAAAAAAGAAAATCCACCCCTTCCAATACTTTTTGGTCGAACTCAAAAACTACTGACCTCTCACTCAAATAACAACTAATCAGTAAAGAAATTCCTTAGCAATCCAGCCATACTCAAAACAGTGATAATACATGATGCAATTTATGACAAATGACACCAAAAACAGTTGCACTTTTGTATACGTGCAAGTTGTGGTTCACACTCACCTTGCACCTATACAAAAGTGCAACGTTTGTGCGGTGGCATTTGTCATAAATTGCATAATTGTGTACCCATTATCACTGTTTTGGCCAAACAAAGAGTATGGCTGGATTGCTAAGGAATTTCTGTACTGATTAGTTGTAATTTGAGCAAGATGTGCTCAGTAGTTTTTGAGTTAAGCAACAAAATATTAGGGAGGTCTTTCTTTTTTGGTTGAGTGTAGTTCCTCATAATGCGGGTATTACAAATATGTCACTAGATATGCATTTGCTGTATACCAAGCTGTTGAGGTCAATATACACCTACGTGTTGACTAAAGGCTCAAAAGTGAATTAAGTTGCATTGAATAGATGCTGAGCTAAAAATAGCACTTGTGAACTCATGAAATCAGGTCATTTGAAAAGAAAGGTCACCCATTGACTCGTCAACTTTGTAGATCTTTGCATGACAGCAGACCACACAAAACTTTCCATTGTTGTCTCCAGGCTAGCTGTTGACAATAAAACATTTTGGGAAAACCCAGATGTACACAATTTCTGGAGGCCTGCTGGGACAAATGTGGTTTATGTATTTGTATCGATGCGCGGGGTTTCCAGGATAAAAAAAAGTGCCTTTATTTTTTAATTAAGATATTCTCCAGACGTATTAGGACAAATATGATAGTGCAATGTTTTGTTTTATATTGGATGCAAACTGCTTGCATGTGACAGAATTTCAAAGCACTTGTGAATCATGACCTTGCAACTTTTGTAAAGTTTGAGTCAATGCCATATATGGAAGTTTATTGAGGGATTAATTTGCATAATATAGTTCCGTCAAGTGGTCATGGGATTGTTGGGTGCGGCACAGCTTCATGTACAGGGCTGTAATGCTTGGACTTCTCTGAATCAACCTGCTACGAACTCAACTGTAAGTTTTGCCAGAACAATGGTTCTTTTCTTTTTGTTTTGGGGTTCTTATTTTGGTTTTATGGATTGTATTAAATGTCAGGTGTAACCCTAAACCCCTTGAGTGATTTACTAGGAACCTTCCTCACTCTTGCAAATTCTAACACTATATGGCAAACTCTGGACCCAAACTGTTGGACTCTGATTATGGTGGTATGACTATGACTATACACCCCATGTAAAGCATTTACTAGTGCAGTACTCACTCCAACAGACTCCAACAAATCCTGCGGTAGGTATTTGACTGGACGGGGATTGTTAGGGTTAAGAAGTTTTTCAGTCGCAGTTTACTGATCTCACTGACTGATAGTCAACTGTGAATTATTCTAGTGCAGTTTCTAACTTTCCAATTCCAACTCACTGGCACACCATTAAAATAAAAGGTCTTGTTGTTTCCTTTAATTTCATACCACATTTGAGCTTGTGATTCATGTAGTTCTAAAGATTTCATAAATTTCCCACTTGTCAGCCATGTCCACTTCCGCGTGGCATTTCCCTCTAGTCTTTATTCCAAACATAAATGGCATTCTAGTTTTCATGCTAAAGAATGAGATTGAAGCTGGAATGAAGACAAGTGTGTTACAATGTTTCATTTATCATTGACAAACAGGACTTCCATTTGTGGCTGGGTGATCCAAAGTACCATGGCTGCTCAATCTGAAGCAGCCTGCCAGACTGATGTCCCTACCACGATGCAACAGGAGGCACAGGTACCCACCCCCTCAGCTACAACAGGTGAGTACATTTAGTAGGTAGACCATTTGCATGGGGTCAATGAGGGAGGGAGGGGTATTAACTCCCCCTCCCCACTCAACTCACACATTCACACACTCCCCAAGATTTTTTTTGAAGTTGCAGGTTTCAACTTTGGACAATCAGATTTCTCTATATATCTTCCTTAAAGGTAGAGTGGATCATTTGCAGCTATATCCAAAAAGTAACTGACCAAATTATTTTTGAAAGCTTACTTTGGTTTAAAGATAGTAATTGGACAAAGAAGACAATAAAAGAAGGTCATTACCAAAGACTGGGAATTGAACAATTTTTGGAAATTTCCATTAGTAGTTGGTTTGTAATTGGGTGAATCCGTGAATGGGTGCGCGTGAGCATTGACACGATGCACATGCGTGCGTGGTTGCTATTATTTGTTTGGTCAGTGCGTGACATAGCGTCGTTGCAATCGGCTGCAATCAATTCAAAACAAGAATCTGCAACTTTGATTTGAAATCGAGATCCTGAAAAATGATTTTCTCGGAATATACAGCATTCACTGAGCTGAAAGTTCAGCAGGTTAGTTGTTAAGCACCAGTCTTTAGATTTAGAGGACTTTTTTTGCTTCAAAAGAAACAAATGCAAATATGACAAATGATCTACTCTACCTTCCAAAAACGGACAACTGGAGATGTACTAAAGGACATGAATCATTTTGTCGGTATCCTTTAAAGGATGTTTGAATTCTTCTGATTTTAGATTCCCCAAAACATACTGGAGCCATCGGAAACATGGGCACAGTCAGCGGTAGAAACAATCCTATCATTACTGCCACTGGTTCAGGTGAAGTTAGTGTCATTTACAACTTGTCGTCAGATGGAGCAGGTAAATATGATCTTGTTTGTTACACTACTTGATATCTCGGGTCAGATATTATTGTATATTTTGTAGGGGAGGGGGAGGGGGATGGAGATGATATATTACACAAACATGGACACAAAAGACGGATTGCCAATTCCACGAAAGAGTCTACATTTTTTGTTGCTACATGTACGATATAAACCAGTTTGTAATAAGATATGGTGACCACATTAGGAGTCTCGTAATGTGTTCTTTATATACCCCAAATGGCACCCCGTATTGTGTGAATCACATGTGGAAAAAAGAAAGTGGGGAAAAATGGAATCAAGTTTTGGAGGCCTCCAAATACAGTTACTAGTTTTTTTGTCTGAATTTATTGTTGTAAGTGTAAAAAAACAATGTGTAAATACTATTAAACGACATCGGACAAGTTTGTGTCCAACAGATGGTACAAAAGCCAAAATATTCATTTGATTATTGTTTGGGGAGGGGGGCATATTTATTTTTTACACTGCCTTACTAACGAACTGTAAATCCAAGTCACCATTTCTTGTAAATGTTTGCCTCAGTAGAGGAAGACTATTCAATCCGTTTCAGAAACAATGTTAAACTGAAATAATACATGTACATTCAATATTGGGTTTTGCCCTCCACCGACATACATGTATTGTATAAACACTGTATAGACAAATCTGGCTGCAGCCATTTACTGCAGTGTCAAAAAAGGCTCGCGCAAGTTGCGCTCAGGTATGTATACCCACACTTCGGGCTCCTTCGACCAATTGGAATACCAAAATGCGCACGCCTCGTCTTTAAGAACGCGAGCAGCATGCGCGTGAGCGTGACACCACCGCAGTAAAAGCTTCTGATTCTAATCACTGGATTCCACTATACTTAGTGTTGTCTCGAGTGTTCATGAGAAAAAATCACTATGGTAGGACTCGAACCCATGCATGACCTCCTGCTTACTATAACATGTACTTGTTGCTTGTTTGACCTCAACAGGAGTAAATCCACAGAGTCAGAAACCAGACCAAGTATCGAGAGTGGGGGATCTCAACCAAGAAGTCGGTAACAAGACCAGGGACATTTTGAGGAAATGGTACAAGACAACGGGTAGCTATGTTCAGTTGAACCCTGGGGTTCCTGATGATCAAAGACCCATTGTTGGCATTTACACTAAATTGCGGGTTAGAACAAAGAAAGGTACTGTAGAAGAAGAATACTCTGAGGAAACTGTATATTCCACAGAGTATGACAAAATGTTTAAAGATTGGCCTGAGACTGAGTTCAATCGTGCTATTTTATTTGGCATTGGTGGTGTGGGGAAGTCAACCATTTTTGACAAGATTGCATATGACTGGACTGATGAGGCATGTGAAATCCTGAAAAGATTCGAGCTTGTCTTTCTGTTAAAAATGTATGCCCTGTTTCAAGAATCTGATCTTGTTGATTCCATTTTTGATCAACTTTTAGGCGTAAAGTCAGGAGTAGCCAAAGTTGAACTTGATAAGTTCATTCAGGACAACTCAAATAAGGTCTTGATACTTTTGGATGGTTTTGATGAAATGAAGACCAAAACGCTTGATGCAACCTCATTCGGGTCTATCCTAAAAGCGCTTAGTAGAACAGAATACAGGGATTGTTTCATTATTGTGTCAACGCGCCCCTCTCATCTTGAGACACTGATGTCAAAATCACTTGTCCGAAATCCTTGCACACACGTGGAGGTTCTGGGGTTTACCAAAGAGGATGTTAATGAATACATTCTGAAATTCTTTTGCGAAGATCATGATAGTGGCAGTGCACTGATCCAAAACATTGAAAAATCCAACACGCTGCTCGATTTCTACACGAATCCAATGCTTCTCCTTCTCATGTGTTTGTTGTGGAGGGAGAAAAAACAACTCCCCGAAACAACTTCACGCCTATTCACTGAGGCAGTTGATTACATGTTCACAAGAAAAGGATATAGCTCCGAAGATGCATCAAAAACAGTGATTGCTATGGGAAAAACTGCACTGAGTGGATTCGTAAGTGCCGACCAGAATTTCTCATTTCAAAAAGGTGAGTTTGAACCAAGTGCGCTGGACCTGGCACTGAAAGCGGGCATCCTAACCCAGCAGAGAGTTATCAAAAACCTCAAATGCCACAACAACATACAATTCATGCACAAGACTGTTCAGGAATACTGTGCTGGTAAATACTTGCAAAGTGTACATATGTCAAACCCGGGATTTGTAAAGCGTTCAGTGCACACAGTTGTTCCATTCGGAGAATTTCAAAACAATTTAAGGCAACTATGTCAGACAATTGAGGGTGTTGTTTCAAATGATTTCCTTTTGCGTTTTTGTTGTGGTGACAATGAAAAGTGCATGACTGACATTGTTAGATTGCTTGATCGTAAATTCAACAAGGATCAACATAAGCCCATGTACCAATCAGACGTTATACAATTAATTAGTCAACACTGTTTTTTTGAAAGCCAATCCAAAAAGATCCCACAATGTCTAACCAGCAACTCACTCATCTCATCAAATATCAAGGTGAAAAACAATACCGATGTCCGCATTCTCATATGCCTTCTTAAAATAATCTGTAGGTCAGAAGTCCAGGTGCCACAACTGTCACGCATTGAAACCATTTGGATTTATTCTGTGTCTTTGGTCAGTGGTTTAGCCTTTGCCCTGGGTTACATGGAAAACCTCAGGAAACTGAGGCTCTACTGCTGTCCTTTAGTGAAGGGTGAGCTTGAGAAAATCCTGTCATCACTGAAATGCAACTATCTCTTAACCAGTCTTTACATAGAGAAATGCAATACATTGGGAGGTAGAGCTGTAGAATGGGCCCCTCATATCAAACACTTGACAAGCCTTGAGAAACTTGAAATAAGCTTGTGCGGACTTCAGAGCACAGACATTGAACACATTGCCTCGGCTGCACATGACTTGCCCAAACTGACTGGCTTGGACCTTGATAGCAACAAGACATTGGGCGGGTCCACTGACATGTGGGCCAAGGAATTATCCAAAATGACACACTTAAATAAGCTGGACCTGAGCTTTTGCGATTTGACACAGTCAGACATTCCACACATTGCCTCGGCTGTAGGTGACATGCCCAGACTGACTGACTTGGATCTTGGTAGCAACAAGTCATTGGGTGGATGTGCTGCATTTTGGGCCAAGGAATTGCCCAAATTGAAGCACTTAAATAAGCTGAGCCTGAGCTACTGCAATTTGACACAGTCAGACATTCCACACATTGCCTGGGCTGTGGGTAACATGTCAAGCCTGACACTGTTGGGCCTATATGGCAACAAGGCATTGCGTGGATGGGATAGGCCTAAGTTAAAGTCCCTCTTTCCATCACTTCTGGTTTTATTTTATTTTCCCTTGCGAAGCACACTCTAGAATTACATGTACTAAGCATAACAATATAAAAATGATAACATTGTCAATAAAAGGAAATAAAATTTTCCAAGAAAATCAACAAAATCAAAGGGCCTAATTTTTCAATCCTAAGCATTACCATTTTCAAAGGCCGCAAAACATCGTAACACATTCCCAGTTTAGATTGTCAGTAGGGTCACACTGCATGTAAGACAATTAGCTGTTCACTATCCACATAAAACAATAATTGATACTTTGATAAACCAGGGAATTGTGCAAATTCCAAACAAAACAAACAAACAAACAACCCCCCCCCCTAAAAAAAACCACAACAATAACAACAAATTGATAGTTACAAATGTGTTGTTCAACCAGGATGCCTTTTTGCAATTTTACATTAACGTCATAATACATTCCTGATTTCAGATCTTCAGTAAACTATTTCTTAAAACAACAGTAGTTAATGCAAATAAGATCCCTGGTTTATCACAATCTCCATGTTTGTGAATAAGTGTAGATTCCACATCTGGAAACTTTTTGAAGTGGCAAACAAAATGACTGTAGACCTCAAATCTTTACGTGTGTGCATGGAAACATCACTAATTTGAAAACCCAGTGGATATATGGTATTTGTTGATTTCTGAGGCTGTATGGATGGTTTGGTCCATTTCCAAGTTGAGACTTGTTGGCCTGACAACAGTTGAATATATGTATCATGTTAAAACAATGAGAAGTTTTGTGATTATTCCAGTCTAAGATGGTAAATACATGTGCATTTTGTAAATAAAATTATATTTGTGGAGACTCGTTTGCCAAGTGGCTTAATTAATTGTACTTAAGTAAAATGGTTGAAATATTAAGTATTACTCAAAGTAGTTTTGGGATTTTGTACATAGGTGGTTTTGTTTAAAGAAAATTTGTTATATTTTGTTTATATTTGCTACAAACTTTGGTACAAAGGTTGGTGGGAAGATCAGTTTTAAAAACTGCTAAAAGATGAAGGAATAACTGATTTGACCCAGCATTGAAGGGGTGCGAGGGTTGTTTTCGAGATTATATTCATTAGAAGTTAAAACTACTAAATGAAATATGAAAAAAAGGATATCCTTTATTTCTTCTTCAAATAAACCACGAAGGGCAACTGATTGGTGTGTTATAATTTTGTTCATTTACATTGTTTTCGTTATTTAGAAAAAACACAATATTCTGGCATTTGGATGTAAATGGAGTTTGATGTCAAATTCACCCTTTGTATTTTGTAGTGGTTGAAAACGCTGAATGTTTCTCTTTATTTATTAAGTTTTTAAATAAAAGACTTTTTTTAACATTTATATCTGTAATCACAGATTAATAGACCCACTCTTAAACATTACTAGAAAATTCTCCTGTTTTGCAAGTCGGGCAAGTCCAAGAAAAGGTCTCCTTGTAGTCCCATACATAACATACCTTAATTGTCTTCTTTATCACAAATACTTACAAAATTGTTTGTGGGTACAGTATTCTCCTTTCAGATGCCCAACAGTAGAATACAAAAAACACACTGATCTAATTGCTTCATAGAGGATTAAACTTTCCTGGGACGTAAGTGTGCGATTCTTGGACTTGCCCAGTAATAGCCTGATGGAGTAGACATATGAATTGCATTCTGGTTCCATATTAAAATACATGATGTTAGTATCTCACAATTGTTTGTGGTGTGATCATTTTGTGTCAGTCCCATTCTGTTGTATTGCATTTTACCTTCAGATGAGTATGCGAGGAAGAGTGTATAGTGTTGTTTGCTCAGAATTGAATGGTTCAAACCCACCATCATCCCTGTCCTCTTTGACAGATAATCAAACACAATCCAGCCCATGTGTTTATCTGAAACCCTATTATCTGTAAATTCACAGCCCTACTTCAATGAAGATGGGTCATAGTTTGTTGCCTTCAACAATCTTGTTTTGTTTCAGCACTTTCTTTTTGACTTTTACATGTTGGACCGAAATGGTTGGAAAAAAAAGTACCGGTACTTTCATTGTAGGTATCTCTCCAATATTTTTTTGGAGGGTGCCCCCCCCCCCCCAAAAAGTCACCCACAAACAAAGGGAATAAATATGTGCTTAGCCGGTTTTAAACGAGTACCGGTGTGTTAAAAACCAGCTAGGGACCTGGTTGCCAATCGACTCAGGCCATTATTCTCCACCAAGCCCGTAGCTGGTTTTAAACATACTTTGTTTCATACCTGCCAAGCACATTATTTATTCCCATTCATAAATAACTTTTGGTCAAAAAGTCATAAGTATTCAAAAATTCACAAATGTCCAACTATTTTGTTCAGCAAATTACTTTGTGTTTAGTTAAACACCCCTCTGGCCATGTCTGTGTACTTGCCTCGTCCATGCAGTGCTCAGAATCTCCTATGGAAATTGGCGTGCATGCTGCGCATACTAGGTGATGTGGTGCAGAACACAGGAATTGGGTTAACTGATGTGTTGTCAGTGGCTTAAACCACCCACATGACATTTCTCGACCAATAGGCCTTATTCATGAGTTGGCCATATTAAATTGAAAGTGAGGTCAAATCCTCATGTTTTTAACTTGCGAACAGAAATGAAAGCAATGACTGAAAGTAAATCACAAATTATTAGTCTGCTCCGATGAATAATTTAAAATTTGTGATTAAACAGGTCCTAATGTTAAAAGCCACATTTGAAAAAAAAAACAATTGAAAGTGATAATCTTTCACCATCCCATTCCACAATGTACAATTGATTAAACCACATTCAGGGAACGATCAAAGGTGGTTTCCTTGTTAAGAAGGTCTGTAGCCTAGGAAAGGGTGAACTGGCTCAGGTATTTTATGCCAAAAAATAAAAATATTCAGTCTCTGGTCAGACCAAAGTTCCGGAATTGACGCAGCCACGCGGCTTTTTTTTTTCTTCAAGCTTGGATTGTACAGACAAGGTGGGGTACTATTTTGCTTTTTTGGTGTCCTCATGTACATTGGTGATGGTGCAATTTCCCATTCCTTGGTGCTCTTTGGTAAAAAAAAAATTGAGGAGGTGCGGAAATAGAGGGCGCTGTTGGAGCTACCGCTGAACATTTTGGGGAAAAAAAAGATCGACGTGCATGATTAAAATCGACGCGCGCGCGGACCAGAGACCGACTTATTTTTTTTTTTGGCCTGATGACTGTTGGTTTATCATGAACTAGGAGCAGTTAGCAATTGTCATCTTGGATGCATTCCTGTGATCATGCATGCACCACTGATGAGTTCCATTGTTCTATAAATGGTATATGTGAAAACCCTCTTGGAACAGTTTCGGGTGTAAAGAGCACATCCAGACATACTGTTTTATCTTCCTACATGTATGCCATGCGTTTTACATGCGTTGCTAGTCAATAATATTCAGATCATATTTTAAGCAAGCACTCTGACTTGTCAAATCCAGTCAACAGCATAAACAGGCAGGAAGTAGGCACAGCTGGCTTATCAATCACCTACAGTCAAGGCATAGCTGTATCAAGTGACATAAACAGTCCCAGCCAGTCAATCCTGCTTTATGTGGGCTGGGATCTCTTAACTGTTGAAAACAGTCACTTGATTGATTTTGACTGAAAGGACAACTTGGCACAATGTATGTTTGCATAGAAGCACATCCAGAATGTTTTACTTTGAGAAGACATGAACAAATCACAATAACTGTCACTTGATAATCGTAATCATGCAGGATTCAACACCATGCATACATGTGCATGTATCCACCTGCCTTTCAACACAGAGTTTTAATTTTTATGCCCCGCGGCGAAGCCGAAGGGGCATACTGTTTCCGCCTTGTCCTTCCGTGGGTGGGTGTGTGTGTGTCTGGCTGTCTGTCTGTCTGTCAGTATGGGTGTGTGGGTGGGTGTGTGGGGTGGGTGGTTGGGTGTGTCCGGACAAATCTTGTCAGCGCGATAACTTGAGAAATACTTACCATATGAACTTCAAATTTGGTTTGTGGATTGTCCTTGGTAATCCTAAGAAGCCTTTTTCATTTGGGGCCGAAAGGTCAAGGGTCAAGGTCACAGTGGCAAAAACAAAAGAAATTTTGTCAGCGTGATAACTTGAGATATACTTTACATATGAACTTCAAATTTGGTTTGTGGATTGTCCTTGGCAATCCTAAGAAGCCATTTGCATTTGGGACCAAAAGGTCAAGGGTCAAGGTCACAGTGACTAAAACAATAGAAATCTAGTATTTATTCTGAGATCATACGGATTAGGGATTAATTCATATAAAACCTACAGAAGACACGTACTAATGCTGTCAATGAACATTCCATGTGACCAAGGTACATGTAAGTTGATGTTAAAAGAGTGGTGTTATATGTCATGGAAACAGTCATGGTTGCAGGGCATTTGTGTTTGTAAACACACCTGACTTGTTAATCCTGTTTTAATTTTGTAACGCGATTGTAGATTTTATTTGGGTTATATAACCTTTTCCACAACCCCTCAGTCCTCAGTGATGGCGCATATCTCCCATATCTCGCCCTTGCACGCTGTAAATTGTACGTAAATTGTCCGCCTACTCGTGCTAAATGCTGACCTGCAAATCATGAAGGTTGGGAGGGTCCATGAAGTGAGTTTCACTGAGGAACATATTTTGTGGTAATCTGACCTTTAAGAAATGTCAAAGGTCACAGGAGCTGAACCTGTTACAATACTTTACCTGCAACATTATATTCATTAATTGCATTATCCATGCATGACTTTTGAATTACTGGGAGAACTTTGAAAAAAAATTACATGATCAAAATAAATTGTGTAAATTGTTAGGAACACATGAAGGTTATGAAAGTAAAGGGCGTTTTGATCTTCAATAGCATTTACAATAGCCGCATCAGTTTGCTTAGCCAACTGATACGTGTTAAACATTCCAACTTGGTTATCAGTCCAAACACATGCTGGGACTGTATCATCAACATGGGTGATCAGTTGGGAGGGCCCAACTTGGGCAGGAACCTTATTCCCATCAAAACGATCATGATAAAAGTACAGTTTGGTGGGACAGGGCTAGGGTGCTTGGTCCTATACCATTCAGACGGTAGGACCAAGGGCACTTGCTCAGGCTGGGTCTGGGAGCTCAGAGGTAGATCAAACATGTCGTCTTTTTGTAGCAACTTCCAGGGTAGCCTTGTAGAAAATGACTCGGTTTGTCTGATGACACTTTGCAGCACATGGCCGTGGATGTGCTCATCACGTACGCTCGTTGGTAAATGCGCGCCCTCTAACATCCATGTATGAGTAGCAGTGCCCAACCCAAGTTAGGCCTGCCCATTGCAACTTGAGTGATCTAGTCAACACAATTGGGTCCTACGACCAAGTTGGGGCATAGTTGGTTTGCAAATGAACAAAAGTGTGAAAAGTGAGGACCTGGACATTATCTTTCTTGTTTGATAAGCTGTACGATAATTCACAGTGGAAACATTCCCATATCTTTTGTTCATTTCTACCAGAATCATCCATCTAATTTTCCTGTGGATTTGTTGTTTTTATCATTCCAGCATGTGACGTACCTGGAGGTCCTGTTGGAGGTCAAACAAAGGTCACCCTGCGAAACGAACACTGGCGATACATCGTTACATGGTGAGTACCATGAATGCTCGAGAAAGACACGGCATTATTTGAAGTAATGAATTTGAAGTACAGTTTATGAGTGAAATTGATTGAATTGTTCTAAATAAATTGACTCCTAGGGTCTTTCGATTTTGATTTTCGATGTTTGTCATTTTGAAAGCAAATATGGATTATATTCAATATATATATTTGCAAACTACCGTATGTTGCAAGTTTTTGCCATACAATTACGTATCGGGCTGATGCACATTGCAAAAAAAAATTAAAACCTAAAAATAAAATAAAAATCCTTTATGTCCTTTTCGTCTCAACAAGCATGCTTCTCAGTAACCACAAAAAGACAACACTTCTGCCGCCCGTATGTTGACTTTCCGGTTTGTTTACTTGAAACTCAGTTTTCTGACGAGACTTGCAAGCTTTCCTTTGCCTAGGTGAAAGCATGCATCGTACCAGTACATGCAGGATGTATGGTTCATGCCACTGTAAAGATAATAGCCAATGCTGGAAGAAGTAGGAGCAGTTTACAGCACTGAACATAAAGTCAAATCTTTACATCATGAAAAGGTCACGAAAACATCTTTAGAAAACAGGTTTATGTGTGATCATTCACAAAGCTTGATCTCACTTTTCTGGGTTTGTCTTTTCTGACTTTGTCTATATACATGCAAGTTACAAATCCTGTCCTGCCTGCACTCATTTGAAACAGCAAGTGATCTGAAAAGAGGAATTTTTTTTCTATTGGCCTACTCCCTAGTCATCAATATTACGAAAAGTGATGACACATATATTTTACGTACACCAAATTACTTAACACACGTGGCTCAGCGAGAGACGTAATGTCACATACATGCACACATTTTGCGATGCACTGCACGTGATCTCTTCACAAGCTACATATGCTCAACTCAACTCAGCTGAACTCAGTAAATGTCGCTTTGGACCACATTCTTGCACTAGGGATGTCAGTCATTGTTGGGACATTTGCTTACTTTTCGTACGATGGAAATTACAATTATTAGGAAAAACACTTTTTTTTTTTTTTTTATACTATACTTTTGAAAAAGTGAACAAAGAAATTGACTTGAGCAGGGTTTAAACCTGCAATATCCAGATAACCATTTCTGGGTCTGTTTCATGACTTTGGATGTGATCCCTGGCTACGACCGGTTTATGGCTTCTGACTAGCGTCCCTTGAACAAAGATGTTGACAAATTGGGGCACCGCCAACATAGGGCTGGATAGCTCAGTTGGTAGAGCACCGGAATAATTATTCAGAGGTCGTGGGTTCAAGCCAAACTCCAGTCAGTTTCTTTGTCCTACTTTTCAAAAATTGTTATAATTCCCCTAGTCAATTTATCTTTGTATCTTTGTTTTTCAAAAAATGGTTTTTAAATAGTTGAATGGAATTTACATATTTGCTTAAACTATGCTCTTGAGCCATGCCAATAGCCGCCCTCCCTACTGTACCCATAGCAACCAAAGTACCTTACTATTACCGTAGTAACCAAAGTACTATACGCACTGTGTGCAAAAATGCATAGGAGCAATTTCAGGGTTACGTTACATTTTTGATGTACTTTTGAGTTTCCTTGCGCTGTAATTACCTTACTGAAAATGTTTAATAGCTGTTATCCCCATGGTAGATAGAGCAGACCTAGACCTACCTAAGCACCAAAGATGACATCCAGAAAAGTGTGTTATGTATGATAAACAAAACACTCAAAATCGGTTACTCACGTTACGAAAATGTAACGTGAGTAACGGTGGAATTGCCCATACGGGTGTTTGTGTTGCCCGTTGCGCATTGCCCGTTGCGCATATTGTTTCCAAGCATGCACTACAGATGGGGTTCAAACATTTTGCGAAGGGGTAGTTACAAAAAGTGCAAGTTAATTTTCAACTAATTTTGTATTTAAATAAAAGTTAATTTTTATTATATTCAGATTAAATTAATCAGTTATCACCTAAAATCAAGCATAATCTGTGGGAGAGGTGTTATAAAACAAAAAAAATGACTGCTTTATCTCGTGATGAAGTAAAACTGTCCTCCCTCGGTGATCCATGAAGCCTCGGGAAAAATAGAATGCTTCATGGATCACCTCGGGAGGCTAATTTTACTACATAACTCCAGGCAGTCAATATAATTTGTATATTATTCGTAAGGAGCCTTCCTAATTTCGTGAAACCTGGCACTGAGCAGGAAACCAAAAGACACAATTCATGAAAGGCCCGTTGTCCTTCATCTTTCTCAATTAGTCCAGACTCCAGAATGCCAAATCGCTTTAACCCTAAAAGGCCGGGGGGGGGGGGGGGTTGGTTGGAATCCACCCCCCCCCCCTCGACTTTTTATACGATAGCCTTTAAAAAAAATGTTTTCGCGACCCAAGCTGTTATGACTTTTTAGCCTCGAGCCTTAACGCATCTTTTGACACCAAAAATATAAAATCAGACCAGGGGTTGTCGCGCAGCGAAAAATTTTCCGGCGCTTTGTGCCGTGAAAACTGAATTTTCCCATAAACGTTGTGTTCACGGACCAGAATTACTATTCATACATATTAATAATTAATTAGCGATAATTCCAAAACCATGAAGAGTTGCTCCATGCATGTACTGAGTTTCAAAATTTTTCGTCACTCGATGGCCAAGATCTTGGGGGGGGGGGCGGAATCCGCCCCCCGGCTGAGAGATGGTTAAAATAACCAGGCCCTTTTAGGGTTAAGAAATGATGATCCTACACCATCGGCTCCCCTTAATTTCTTGTTCGTTTACGATTTGCGTAGTTATTCTTATGAAGAATCGAGACGGCGTAAAGAAATGACCCATTAAAGAAAGAAAAAAGAAAAAAAACTGCTAGTGACATAAAGAATTCTATCAAAAAACCCTTGGCAAGCAAGCTTATGGGACTCGAACCCAAGACCTCCTGCTATTCAACCGCTGGATTCTCCAACTTGAGGAATTGAAATCTGCGTCTTAAAACTGTTCTCTGTCTTTAATTTGCGGCTGGATTTCTTGGTGAAAGCATCAGGGCTCTGTGCAGGAATTGACAGGTTGAAGATGAACTTTAGCTAAGTTTTTTTTTTTCAATATATTTGTAACAATTAATTGGACTGTTGGATTGGCTATTGAAAAGGCCTGATGCTTTTATAGAATCGGGCTATACATTAGTGCCAGCTTTAGGATGTAGGCCTACTTGCAAATACTTATTCAAGCACTTTCGAATTGCATTGTATCATGCACTCAACCAAAAAAGGAAAGTCCCCCCCCCCCCCCTTTCCAATACTTTTTAATAACAACTAATCAGCAAAGAAATTCCTTAGCAATCCAGCCATACTCTTTTTTTGGCTCAAAACAGTGATAATGTGTACGACATGATGCAATTTATGACAAAATTTTTTTTTTAATGATACCGAAAACAGTTGCAGGCCCTTTTAGGGTTAAGAAATGATGATCCTACACCATCGGCTCCCCTTAATTTCTTGTTCGTTTACGATTTGCGTAGTTATTCTTATGAAGAATCGAGACGGCGTAAAGAAATGACCCATTAAAGAAAGAAAAAAGAAAAAAAACTGCTAGTGACATAAAGAATTCTATCAAAAAACCCTTGGCAAGCAAGCTTATGGGACTCGAACCCAAGACCTCCTGCTATTCAACCGCTGGATTCTCCAACTTGAGGAATTGAAATCTGCGTCTTAAAACTGTTCTCTGTCTTTAATTTGCGGCTGGATTTCTTGGTGAAAGCATCAGGGCTCTGTGCAGGAATTGACAGGTTGAAGATGAACTTTAGCTAAGTTTTTTTTTTTCAATATATTTGTAACAATTAATTGGACTGTTGGATTGGCTATTGAAAAGGCCTGATGCTTTTATAGAATCGGGCTATACATTAGTGCCAGCTTTAGGATGTAGGCCTACTTGCAAATACTTATTCAAGCACTTTCGAATTGCATTGTATCATGCACTCAACCAAAAAAGGAAAGTCCCCCCCCCCCTTTCCAATACTTTTTAATAACAACTAATCAGCAAAGAAATTCCTTAGCAATCCAGCCATACTCTTTTTTTGGCTCAAAACAGTGATAATGTGTACGACATGATGCAATTTATGACAAAATTTTTTTTTTAATGATACCGAAAACAGTTGCAGGCCCTTTTAGGGTTAAGAAATGATGATCCTACACCATCGGCTCCCCTTAATTTCTTGTTCGTTTACGATTTGCGTAGTTATTCTTATGAAGAATCGAGACGGCGTAAAGAAATGACCCATTAAAGAAAGAAAAAAGAAAAAAAACTGCTAGTGACATAAAGAATTCTATCAAAAAACCCTTGGCAAGCAAGCTTATGGGACTCGAACCCAAGACCTCCTGCTATTCAACCGCTGGATTCTCCAACTTGAGGAATTGAAATCTGCGTCTTAAAACTGTTCTCTGTCTTTAATTTGCGGCTGGATTTCTTGGTGAAAGCATCAGGGCTCTGTGCAGGAATTGACAGGTTGAAGATGAACTTTAGCTAAGTTTTTTTTTTTCAATATATTTGTAACAATTAATTGGACTGTTGGATTGGCTATTGAAAAGGCCTGATGCTTTTATAGAATCGGGCTATACATTAGTGCCAGCTTTAGGATGTAGGCCTACTTGCAAATACTTATTCAAGCACTTTCGAATTGCATTGTATCATGCACTCAACCAAAAAAGGAAAGTCCCCCCCCCCTTCCAATACTTTTTAATAACAACTAATCAGCAAAGAAATTCCTTAGCAATCCAGCCATACTCTTTTTTTGGCTCAAAACAGTGATAATGTGTACGACATGATGCAATTTATGACAAAATTTTTTTTTTAATGATACCGAAAACAGTTGCACTTTTGTATACGTGCAAGTTGTGGTTCACACTCACCTTGCACCTATACAAAAATGCAACGTTTGTGCGGTAGCATTTGTCATAAATTGCATAATTGTGTACCCATTATCACTGTTTTGGCCAAACAAAGAGTATGGCTGGATTGCTAAGGATCTTCTGTACTGATTAGTTGTAATTTGAGCAAGATGTGCTCAGTAGTTTTTGAGTAAGACAACAAAATATTAGGGAGGTCTTTCTTTTTTGGTTGAGTGTAGTTCCTCATAATGCGGGTATTACAAATATGTCACTAGATATACATTTGCTGTATACCAAGCTGTTGAGGTCAATATACACCTACGTGTTGACTGAAGCCTCAAAAGTGAATTAGTCGCATTGAAAAGATGCTGAGCTAAAAATAACACTTGTGAACGTTCAAAATCAGGTTATTTGAAAAGAAAGGTCACCCATTGACCCGTCAACTTTGTAGATCTTTGCATAACAGCAGACCACACAAAACTTTCCATTCTTGACTCCAGGCTAGTGGTGACAATAAAACATTTTGGGAAAACCCAGATGTACACCTTTTCTGTATGCCTTCTGGGACAAATGTAGTATATATGTTTGTATCGATGTGCGGGTTTCCAGGATTATATAAATAGCCTTTATTTTTTATTAAGATATTCTACAGACAAAGTAGGACAGCATGCAAATATGGATAGTGCAATGTTTTGTTTCATTGGATGCAACCTGCTTGCATGTGGCAGAATTTCAAAGCACTTGTGAATCATGACCTTGTAACTTTTGTAAAGTTTGAGTCAGTGCCATATATGGAAGTTTATTGAGGGATTGATTTGCATAATATAGTTCCGTCAAGTGGTCATGGGATTGTTGGGTGCGGCAGCTTCATGTACAGTGCTGTAATGCTTGGACGTCTCTGAATCAACCTGCTACAATCTTAACTGTACCGGTAAGTTTTGCCGTAACAAAGGTTCATTTCTTTTTGTTTTTTGGTTTCTTGTTTTTGTTTCATGGATTGTATTAAATGTCAGGGGTAGCCTATTAGCCCTAACCCCCTTGAGTGATTTACTAGGAACCTATGTCACTCTTGCAAATTCCAACACTATATGGCAAACCCTACACCCAAACTTTTGGACTCTGATTATATAGGTATGCCTAACCCAATTTACTAGTTTAGTATGGGATTGTTAGGGTTAATAAGTTTTGCAGTCCCATTTTACTGATCTCACTGAATGACAGTGAACTGTGCATTAGTCTGGTGCAGTTGCTATAAGTGACACGAGACCACTTTTTTTTTGGTCTTGGTCTTGTTTCAGCCTGGCCCTAAAGTCTCGGTCCCGGGTGGGCTGGTCCAGTCTTGAAAGCGCCGGTGTCGGTCTTGGTAGACTCGTCGAGACCACAACAAAATGTCCCTATTATGTATGGGTTTATTCATGTGCAAGCTGAATAACATACAAACTTGTGGAGGACAGTTCCAAGCATTAGAGTGACAAACACGAATTTATTAACAAATAAATGGTACATTGAGACAACTACTGCTACTCGCTTTCTAAACACTGAAACTTTTATAGTACACATTTTCATGCTGACGAATGAGATTGAAGTTGGAATGAAGGCCAGTGTGTTACAGCGTTTCATTTGTTATTGACAAACAGGACCTCCATTTGTGGCTGGGTGATCCAAAGTACCATGGCTGCACAATCTGAAGCAGCCTGCCAGACTGATGTCCCTACCACGATGCAACAGGAAGCACAGGTACCCACCCCCTCAGCTACAACAGGTGAGTACATTTAGTAGCTAGATTATTTGAATGGGGTCAATGAGGAAGGGAGGGAGGGGCGTTAACTCCCCCTACCCACTCAACTCACACACTCACACACACCCCAAGATTTTTATTGAAGTTGCAGGTTTCAACTTTGGACAATCAGATTTCTCTTAATTATATATCTTCATTAAAGGTAGAATAGATCATTTGCAGCTATCCAAAATGTAACTGACCAAATCTTTTTGAAAGCTTACTTACCGGTAGTTTAAAGATAGTAATGGCACTAAACTCCCTGTGAAATTCCTTGTGGCATGCTGTCATTTTGAAGAAAACACTAAAAGAAGGTCATTACCAAAGATGGTGAATTGATGCATTTTTGGAAATTTCTGTTAGTAGTTGGTACATGTATATAATTGGGCGAATCCGTGAATGGCTGCACATGCGCATGCGGTTGCTATGATTTGTTGGTTCAGTTCATGATGTAACGTGGCTGCAATCGGCTGCAATCAATTCATGACATGGCACTGCAACTCTTGAATTGAAAATGAGATCCTACCAGTTTGTTTTCTCAGAATATACAGCATTCACAGAGCTAAAAGTTCATCAGGTTAGTTGTTATTTTTGTTAAGCACCTGTCTTTAGATTTTGAGGACTTTTGTTACTTCAAAAGAAACAAATGCAAAAATGACAAATGATCTACTGGTACTCTACCTTTAAAAGTCAAAGTTTTGCAAAAACAGATGACAACGAGAGATGAAATCAAGTACATGTACATGAATCGTTTTGTCGGTATCCTTTAAAGGATAGTTTAATTCCTCTGATTTTAGATTCCCCACAACGAACTGGAGCCATTGGAAACATGGGCACAGTCAGTGGTAGCCACTGCCATACCATTGTTGGTTCAAGTGGAGTTAGTATCACTTACAGCTGGCCGTCGGATGGAGCAGGCAAATATTATCTTGTTTGTTACACTAATTGATATCTTAGATCAGATGTTAATGTATTTTTTTGGGGGGGAGGTGATCTATTACACAAACATGGACACAAAAGGCAGATTGCCAATTCTGTGAGAGAGTCTCCAATTTCTTTGCTACAACTATAAACCAGTTTGTAATAGAATATAATGGTGAGCACATTAGAAGGGCGCTATTTTATAGCGGGTAAAAAGTCTTGTAATTTGTACCCACGCCAAATGACGCCCCTTATTGTGTGTGCACATTTTTTTTTAAAAGGTGAAAAACGGTGAATATACATGTAGCATTGAAGTGACACATTAATTTTGCATTTATACTTGAATGAATGGAATTAGGGCTGTCCGAAAACATCGAGTACTCCATTTTCAATTGGTCATCAACTGTATATTCGAAATAGCTTTTTGCCAGTTGGGGTATTCGTAAACAAACAAACTATGCACATTATAACGACTGTTTTGTTATTTCATTATACTGGTGCTTCATTGTCAGGTGCCACTTTTTGTCGACGGCGGATTATTGTTAACATCCTTTTAGCAGGTTAAAGCCCTTAGATAGTTATAAAACACTTACTGCAAGTCTGCAAAACACTCCAGCGCCCCATATTGATCGCTGCACGCCATTAACTGGCACATGCAACTTTGTGCCGGTACAGCACACAGTTGCAGCTGGCAGTTCCAAATATCTGAATATTCGGTCAAACGCAGTTTCCAGTAATCAGATACTAAGTTACTCGAAAATGGACAGCCCTTAATGGAATAATGGAATCATTTTTAGGCTTACACCTGCAGTTACCTGTTTTTTGTCTGATTTTTTTTTGTTGGTGTAACAAAAATATGTGGAAGTACTATAAACCAACATCTGACATTTTGTGTCCAACAGAAGTACAAAAGCCAAAACATTCATTCAATTAATTTTGTTTTTGGCAAATTTATTTGTACGCTGCCTTACTTACGAAATGTAAATCTCAAGTCACCATTTGTTTTACATATTTGCCTCTGTTGAAGAAGATTTTTCAATTGTTTCAGAAACAGTGTTTAAGTAATACATGTACATGTACATTTATTATTGGGTTTTAAACATTGCATACTTAGTGTTGTCTCATGATTATGAGAAAAAAGTACTCTGGTGGGACTCGAACCCATGACCTTCTGCTTACTATAACATGTACATGTTGCTTCTTTGACCTCAATAGGAGTACCTCCACAGAGTCAGAAACCAGACCAAGAACCAAGAGTGGGGGATCTCCACCAAGAAGTTGGTAACAAGACCAGGGACATTTTGAGGACATGTTACAAGACAACGGGGAGTTATGTTCAGTTGAACCCTGGGGCTCCTGATGATCAAAGACCCATTGTTGGCATTTACACGAAATTGCGGGTTAGAACAAAGAAAGGTACTTTAGAAAAAGAATACTCTGACGAGACTGTATATTCCACAGAGTACGAGAAAATATTGAAAAATTGGCCTGAGACAGAGTTCAATCGTGGTATTTTATTTGGCATTGGTGGTGTCGGGAAGTCAACCATTTTTGACAAGATTGCATATGACTGGGCCGATGAGGTATGTGAAATCCTGAAAAGATTCAAGCTTCTTTTTCTTTTAAAGATGTATGCCCTGTTCCAAGAATCTGATCTTGTTGATTCCATTTTTGATCAACTTTTAGGCGTAAAGTCAGGAGTAGTCAAAGATGAACTTGATCAATATATTCAGGACAACTCAAATAAGGTCTTGATACTTTTGGATGGTTTTGATGAAATGAGGACCAAAACACTTGATGCAGCCTCATTCGGCTCTATCCTAAAAGCGCTCAATAGAACAGATTACAGGAAGTGTTGCATTTTTGTCTCGACCCGCCCCTCTCATCTTGAGACACTGATGTCAAAATCACTTGTCCAAAATCCTTGCACACACATAGAGGTTCTGGGGTTTACCAAGGAAGATGTTAATGAATACATTCGGAAATTCTATTATGAAGATCCTGATAGTGGCAGTGCACTGATCCAAAACATTGAAAAGTCCAACACACTGCTCGATTTCTCCACAAATCCAATGCTTCTCCTTCTCATGTGTTTGTTGTGGAGGGAGAAAAAACAACTCCCCGAAACAACTTCACGCCTCTTCACTGAGGCAGTTGATTACATGTTCACAAGAAAAGGATATAGCTCCAATGATGCATCAAAAACAGTGATTGCTATAGGGAAAACTGCACTGAGTGGATTTGTAAGTGCTGACCAGAATTTCTCATTTCAAAAAGATGAGTTTGAACCAAATGCGCTGGACCTGGCACTGAAAGCAGGCATCCTAACCCAGCAGAGAGTTATCAAAAACCTCAAATGCCACAACAACATACAATTCATGCACAAGACTATTCAGGAATACTGTGCTGGGAAATACTTGCAAAGTGTACGTTTGTCAAGGCAGGGATTTGTACAGAGTACAGTGTACAAAGTTGTACCACTGAGAAAATTTCAAAAACAATTAAGGCAACTTTGCGGGTCAGTTGAGGGCATTGTTTCAAATGAGTTCCTTTTACGTTTTTGTTGTGGTGACAATGAAAAGTGTATGACAGACATTGTAACCTTTCTTGAATGTAAATTCAAGGAGCAAAATAAGCCCGGGTGCATGTACCAAAAAGCTGTTACACAAGCTATCAGTAGACAATGTTTTTTTGAAAGCCAATCCAGAAAGGTCCCACGGTGTCTCACCAGCTACTCACTCATCCCATCAGATATCGAGGTGAATAACAATACTGATTTCCGCATTCTCATATACCTTCTTGAAATCATCTGTAGGTCAGAATTCCAGGTGTCACAACTGGCATGCATTGAAACCATGAAGGTCTCTAAGGTGTCTTCAGTCAGTGTTTTAGCCTTTGCCCTGGGTTACATGGAAAACCTCTGGTGGCTGAGGCTCTACTGGTGTCCTTTAGTGAAGGGTGAGCTTGAGAAAATCCTGTCATCACTGAAATGCAACTATCTCTTGACCAGTCTTGACATACTTGATTGCAATACATGTACATTGGGAGGTAGAGCTGTAGAATGGGCCCCTCATATCAAACACTTGACAAGCCTTGAGAAACTTGAAGTAAGCAGGTGCAAACTTCAGAGCACAGACATTGAACACATTGCCTCAGCTGTACATGACATGCCCAAACTGACTGACTTGATCCTTGATGGCAACAGGACATTGAGCGGATCTGCTGACTTGTGGGCCAAGGAATTGCCCAAAATGATGCACTTAAATAAGCTGAACCTGATCTATTGCGATTTGACACAGTCAGACATTCCACACATTGCCTCGGCTGTAGGTAACATGCCCAGACTGACTGACTTGGATCTTGGTAGCAACAAGTCATTGGGTGGATGTGCTGCATTGTGGGCCAAGGAATTGCCCAAAATGATGCACTTAAATAAGCTGGAGCTGGGCTATTGCGATTTGACACGGTCAGACATTCCACACATTGCCTCAGCTGTAGGTAACATGCCCAGACTTACTGACTTGGATCTTGGTAGCAACAAGGCATTGAATGGATGGGATGAGTTACAGTCCCTCTTCCCATCACTTAGGGTTACATTGTAATTCTCTCTTGCCAAGCCCACTCTTGAATTACATGTGCTAGGCATAACAATATCAATATGATAACATTCTCCATAAAAGGAAATGAAATTTACAAGAAAATCAACAAACTTAGAGAGCCTAATGTTTCAATCCTAATTCTCAAGGGCAAACATTGTAAGACATTCTTGATGTAGGTCAGTAGGGTCGCACAACATGTAAGACAATTAGCTGTTCACTATCTACATAAATCAATAACGAAGAATGTGAAATATTCAGGAATTGTGCAATGAAAAAAAAAACACCAACAAACAAACAAACAAACACCCCAAGAAACCTAACAAAAAACAAAAAACCAGATAATTAAAAAATGTGTCATTCCAGGATGCCTGTTTGAAATTTAAGTTGAGCCTATATGGCAACAAGGCATCGGGTAGACGGGATAAGGTATGGTCCTTCTTCCCATCATTCAGGGTTATATCCCTTACCAAACTTGACTGCAGTCATTTAGCATTCCTTTAGCATGCAATTAACATGCGAATGCTATGAGAACTGCCATTTGATAGCATTCACAAAAAGCCATGTCTGTACTTCCTAAAGCATTTTTCATAGCATTCCTTGAGGATAGCAATCAGATAGCAGTTTTATAGCATGTCAGAAGCCCGAATTATGTAAATGAGCTATAGCATTCGCATGCTATGGAGAATGCTATTTAGGCATGCAAATGTGAATGCTATAACAGCATTCACATGCTATGAGAATAGCATTTGCATGCTATGAGAATAGCATTCGCATGCTATGAGAATAGCATTCGCATGCTATGAGAATAGCATTCGCATGCTATGAGAAGAGCATTCGCATGCTATGATGCATGCTATGTGAATGCTATCATGACTGCTTTATCGTGACATGGACACGGGCATCCTACAACATACATTTTCAATGTCACAATTTATACCAAAAATTACTTATGTTATATCAGCTTTAATAATTTCATGTATTGAACCATATTTAACACAGCTAACACCATTTTGAAATTTAATAGACCTATGTACATACAGACTGTGATCAAAATATATGAAATAAGAAAATTGTTCTTTAAGACTTTATCAGCCTCAGAATTGCTGTACAAACATGGGGACACTCTTTGTTTTTGTTTAACATTGTTATGCTTTTAAAAGCAATGGCCAGAAATTTAATGCAACAATTCTCTGTTTATAATTTGAATTATCTTTGAAGCAACCATTAGTCACTTTTATGCCAGTTGGCATCACAATTAAAAACAGTTATCATCCGATATCCAGCTGATTCAAAAATTCAATCAATTGGATGAAGGAATGTTCAACATCACATACACCATGAACACTAACATACTCAAAGCCAGAATAAAATTGTCTTTATCTAGCCAAAAACTGAATACCCACCATGTAGGA